GCAGATCCTGTAAGATTTTGTATAGAAGAATAAGTCTGTGTATTTTCCGTCTTGCAACATGGGTGTCCCAACCAAGTTCACAATAAAGTTGATAGTGTGAGTTTTCTTTACGCAGTCCTGTAATTATTCGAGCAGCCTCTATTTGGATGGATTCAAGAACAGTTGCTTCCTACTTAGTACAATTATAAAAAAATGATATCACCATACTCTAGTATAGATCTAACATACGCGGTATATATAGTGATTAGTGTTTACGACTCATTTGATATTTTACAGATTTCAATATATGTGTACGTGTATACGCTTTAATATAAATAAAGCTGATATCGTGATGCCACTTACCGTGTTTAGAAAAAAAATGCACAAAGATGCTTATGAGTTGACACATTTGCTACAGTTTCTTTTTGAGTAGTTGTTATAACCTTAGAAAGAAATGTATCATCGGCAAATAGTCGTTTCTCATTTGTAATACATTCAGTAATATCATTTATATAAATCAGAATTAGAAACGGACCGAGGACTGATCCCTGGGGGACACAAGCACTTACCTGTCTATATGATGAGAACAAACCTTCTGTTATCACTCTATGTTTCCAATTAGTTATGTTATCTTTTAACCGATTAAGGAGATTTCCATTGAAACAATATCTTTTAAGTTTAAATAATAAGCCAGGTTGCCAGACACGATAAAATGCCTTCATCAAGTTTTTGTACAAGACATGGATAATAATTGTAAACAGTAAAGTCACAAGGAATAAATCCAGACTGGTATTTTGTTAGTAGTTCAAAATCAAGTAAATGATTATATAAATGCTTGAAAATGATTTTTTCTAATATTTTACTGAAACATGAAGTAATAGAATATGGACGGTAATTTGAGACATCATTTTTATCACCTTTACCATTATATAAAGCATTAGTATTAGCCAATTTTCAAGACAGAGGAATAGAATCAGATGATACGATTTTATTAAATAACATAGTAAGGAGAGTTATTAGTGATAGAGAAAAAAGTTTAATAATTTTCGGTATAATTTAATCAGATCCTGCAGGTTTCTTATCATTAAGTACAGTCAGATGATCCCTCACACCCTGCTCTTGAAAAAAAAGAGGTTATTAAGCATGTTGAGAGACTCAGGAACAGGAGGCAAATGCTCAGTATTATCAGAGGATTTTGATATGGCTGTTTACTAATCAACAAGACATTCGGCTTTATCAAGTTGATGAACAAACAGTGTTATTGTAATATAATGATGGAATAATGGGTGACTTGTTCTTACTTTTTAAAATAGTTTTTGCGGTATTCTACCATTTAGATGATGAGACATTGGGATCATTTAGAGAGTGTTTGAAATTTTGTAATAAGCTGATGGCTTTATTTCTGATGTTTCTAAAGTTTGCCCAATGATCTGGATTATATTCATCTGTCTTAGTTTTAACCTTATCTCGTTTGACATCCATGGCTTATCATTTGGTCGGATAGTATTGAATTTCTTTATAGTTATACAGTCATCTATATCTTTATTTATAGCATCAACAAGTACCATTAACATATTATTGTTCATCATATTTATCCAGTTTATGTTATCAATCATATGATTCATTTTGATAACATCAGCAGTATTATACATGAGAACATTTTGTGTATATGCATGTTGTCTAAATACAGAGTAAGACGCACTGACGTTGTTTACAGAGTGATAATTAAAAATTTGAGGAGTTACAATTACATTTTGCACAATAGTATCATTATTAGTAAGGACAATATCTATTGAGGTAGAAGAGCCCTGAGTTATTCTTGTAGGATCTTTTACATAATAGTACAGATTCTATTTTGTAAGAAGTCTTTTTAAACGGGATTTTGGCTGAATATTGCTCATATTTACATTAATGTCACCAGTAATAATAATGTCTGTATTTGTTCGCTTAGAGTCATCAATTACATGATCTAGTAAATAATCAAACTTGTTCCAGTAATCAATACTACTGTCAGGAGGTCTATAAATACAAACAAGAAGGAATGTGTTGTTGCTAAGTGTAATCTCTGACCATAATAATTCTTAATCAAGAATATCGAGATCTAGTCTTCTTCTCATAATGATAATGTCCTTATAATGAATTGCAATGCCTCCCCTTGGACGCAGACAGCGTTTTTTTCTGAATATTTGTTTAGAACAACTTTGAAGTAACAAGGCATTGTCATGAATCATTTCATTAAGATGGTTTTCAGTTAAACTCAATTCAGCTTCAACTGGATCCATTTTATTTCTTACTGAACGGATGTTTAAGCAACCAATGTCAAGACTGCATAAAGTACCTGGATTTTTTTTCAATATCCATATACATTATAATTAGTATTATTACTAGAACAAGTGACAAATGGTCAATTGAATAATAATATATATGATACAGGAGTTTGTGTCTGCCAAGATTGCTAGAGAAATTGTACATTTAAAATAATAATAATCAATAGCAATGATCAGCGATTGACAACCACTGGGATGCACTCCATGCAAGATAATCATACTATACTTGTAAGCACAAATATCACCTGTTATCAAACAGATAAAATTTCATTACAAAATCCATGGGGTCAAACAGGCAGTCGCAATACGCTTCATGTAATACGGACCACCATTAGAAGAGAGATCTGATAAACATATATTGTGTTGTAATAAACATGATAAAGATAAAACGGAGTTATTTACATACACAACTGTTATATATTTCATTCAACCACGATTCGTTTGCAACGCGTGTTTTGATTGGATACGGACCATGTTCTAATCTGAGATATAATCATGATCAATTGTGTTAAGCTCCTCCCATCGCACATATTCTACGCCCCGTTTCTAACCTAAAAAAATATGGCGTCACGCTCTCCTCTTAGCGAAATCGCACTGATAATGCTAGCATGCAACAAACGACCGATGATATGTATTTGCTGAATGAATTAAAAAGTAAATAGAAAACATTCCTTGTTCTTACCTCCATTTATTACCGAAACGTTCGTTCCATCAGTGTAAATGCATCTATTTAGATCCAAAATTAAATAAAACATTTCCCATGTGTCGTATGAATTTACACAATACTCTTCACAAATCTAAACAAATAATCACCGCTTTTGTCGAAAAGCACAGATTGGTATGCATATTGACATGGAAATGTCAGAATTTGGTCAATATTAATCCAAATGTGTCTTATAAACTTTGGTAACAGGACATTCACGAACAATCCAAATATTCCGCCTCATCAACATACATATCTAGCGCTCGCCAGTATAGGCGGGGCCAAATGACCGACCTTTGGAAGCTTCTTTCCGATTGGTCAGTCCGCTGCAGAATGGCACGCCACCATTCAGGTCACCGAATACTTTACTACGTACTTTTGTACAAGGAAATACAATGTTTCTAAATATTTTAGCGTAGTTTATTTGTTGAGGTGTGTTAGAATGGGGATAGTACATTGTTTTTCGTGTCTATAATGGCGATTAGTACATGGAATTTGGTTTAAACTCTCGACCTATTGGTCTCGAGTTCAAACCAAATTTCATGTTCTTATCGCCAGTATAGCCACTCAAAACAACGTACTATCCCCTAAATGTTACCTTCATACAGCTGGCTGCATGTAGCTTGTGACAGGGTTTGTACGTACATGACATGAGGAGACGTCTTTAAAAACAACTGTTCAATGTAACTCGAAAGCTTGTTGCAGAATAGTGGCTTGAATGCCAGTTAAACACCTAAGTGATATAGATGTGTTTTTTAATAGATCTTATGGTCATGCTAACTGTAAAATTCAAGTGCTCTCTAATATATTTTGCAATTATTTCCTTACATTGAAATGCATACTTTATTAACACTGATGCTATTTGATCTATTATAACACATTTTGATATATCAGAGTGCACATACATGAAATTAGAAAAATAAAATAAAATGTAGCTTTACAATAGAAGATAAAAACCTAACTTTTGAAACATATATCTTTTACCTTTATACTTGAATTGTTATTGTTTTGCCCGTAATTAAGGCCTACACTCGTAGCACCGTGTAAAATAAATATTAACATGGTGTTTATAGCAAAACACCCAAATATTCACTATTGGGAAGACACTCGTTACTTGACACACATTAGTACTTGGTCTTATCAAGATGCAGCTTTAGCTGTAGTATGAGCAGTACAGATCTCGGCAAGCACATATTTCCCAGGAATGGTTATGTCTCCTTCGATGATATAGTGATCCGAGTCTAACGTCTGACAATCGTAAACTGTTTTTTTTCTCCCATAGTATGACCTTGATCTATGCTGTGCTCAATAAAAGACTGTTTGTCCCTCGTCTTCCGATTGGATTGCATCCATCTGTTAAGTAAAAGTACCGCTCAGTTTAGAATTGATATATCCGCCAAAATGATAACGAAAAAACTCGTTAAAAAACTTGTTATATCAAGAGTATTTAAATGCTCAGCTTTATCAGTTAAAATGCTATAAAAAAAACGTAATGAGGATAGCCGTTCATATCACATATGTTGTCAGTTAAAACGAAATTGTAAGAAAAATAGAAATCAAATATTGGTATTATGCTGTATATCTATGACATTGTCAGCCTGTGGGTCAGTTAGTAATTTGGACAGAAAGGTTCCATTTTTCATATTTTACCCAAGTGTTATCGATATTAAGTTTGAATTATGGTTTGTTGACATGTCCATATGATCATGATATTTATCTTTTCTTTATATATTTTTCTTTTCGAGACAAAGGAATTGTAAACAAAGCTACGTTTGTATATTTACTGTTTCTGATATATTCTGTCACTAATTATATTTCCACATCATTAAAGCCTATGCAAAGGACTACAATTAATGTAGGTGGAAGATACCATTATTTGTAAAACCTATAACAGCATGTACACCATTGCGTTTGAATTATAAAAAAAGCCAGTTGTTTTCACGATAATGTAATATGTAATATTCTAAGCATTGATATTATCGATTGCACAGGTTGCAAAGAAAATTACATTTACATCAGGAAAGGATCAATTAACGTCAAGCAAATGTGAAGAAGCAGACGTCAACCCGTTATATAAAGAAAAAAGAGTTAAACGTAATGAATGTAAGTTTTGATCTGTCTTTCAGATTTTTTCATTTAAAACAATTTCACAATAACACCCGTTTCCTATGTAAGTATTTCAAATTGAGGGCCGGCGATTTTGGTTTCCCATATTATTTCAATACAAAATTGAACAATTCTTTTTTAATGAAAAGCTTTGATTCAAATGAATTTTTTAATTAAGATCTATAAATAACATTTAGAAGAAAGGGTTGTCTAATAGTTTTGTACGGACATGCTTCCCTTCAAAGTGCACTGTTTGACGTTTAAAGTAGACAAAAACTGGTTAGCAATTCAACGAATTTTTTCGATATTCTCTCATTCTGGTTTCCATTAAAATCCTAGGTGGATATCCTACAGGACCGAGCTCATTTCGTCACAAAAAGCTCAAAATGGGATGCAACATAGGTGTGATGAATCAAAAGGTACCAAACCTTGGGGGAACACTTGGTCCGTTCGTGCGCTACAACGGTAATACGAGTTTCCTGACATGCGCTCATGTGCTATTTGATGTTGCTCAACAAGGTACAGTTGACTTCACATATGATGGATCCAATCGTATTGACGTCGTGCAACCCGCTTTAGATACGTCGATGGCAAGTGGTGCCGCCTGTGGGTTTATACAGAGGGCTATATTTAATCCACGTATGCATCCTAGCATCGATATGGCCGTTGTGACCATATCTGACGAATCACGGCTACCCGACAAAGGCAGATTTGCGAATGATCATAGCTCCAGGTACAAGAAAGCCGGTAAGTACACTTCTATCGGACTTCTGGTTTTATGCTTAATGTCTTACTAAATTAAATGGCTATTCATAAATTATGATACTAGTGTGGTCGGTTAGACAGTGGATAGCGCACTTGCGTTTCACCAAGGCGGCCGAGGCCACCTGCCTGAGCACGAAGGTTCTCTAGGGGAACTCCAGTTTCCACCCACATTAAGACATCCGGGCCAACAAGAAGTATTAACATCCATTGAACAATTGTTGTAAAATAGATAAGTTCATACGTAATTATTTTATATGCCCCAAGAATGACAAAGCAATTAAAAGCATTTACCTCAACTTCTTGTTAAATATATCACCGATCATAATCACAAATGATTAGACTTCGGGTTCTTCCACAATTTTCCATGATTTTCATTATTTCCGTGATGTAAGAGGAAATCATACACTTGTGGTTTCAGAGATGAAGACTATACACAGCTTATAGTCTCACAATGATCTCTTTATGAAACATTCCGTTTTCTTTGTTCGATGCTTACTTTTGCATGTTTACTATATTGAACGGCGATCGTTGTGGTTTTGTTGTCAAGATCACATTTTCCCCTGAATAAAGTGACACGAAGCTGGTGTCGTTGATGGAGCAGGAGGTGCTAACCCTCCTGAAATACCTGGTTTTATATGTAAATCTTTGATTTGTTCACATTGTACACTTATATCAGTGCTTGACAGGTATTTTAATGCCACAATGTTTGACCGGTCCTTATTCGTATCGAAAACGTATATATTTAATCCTCAAGTAATTCAAATAAAGTAAGGCCTAATGAGTTTAAAATACATCTTCGATTGTAAAGTAGCTGGTATACATTTCCACACCTCTGATATAAATACTTCCTACTCCGAAACCTTTGGAACAGCATACACTTGTATATATGATACATAGAGAAATTGACATAAGTGACCATGTCATATTGAATTTATAAAACGAGTTAAATATTAAGATATAACACGAGCCACTAGGCGAGTGCGATACTAAATAACTGAATGATATTAATAAACACAAAATGACACGGACACGAATGTAAGATTATATTTATCACATAACATTCATAATTTGAAATAAAAACTACAATCACAATTACGTGTTATCAGCTTGCTTTATATAGGCCAAAACCAAAACACCCCAATTATAGTGTTATCGTTCCGCGCAGTGCAAATTAATTCAAGGTTTTATTCAAATAATGAATATTTTTCAATACAATGAAAAAATCATGACAAAATTTAAATTTATAAATTATAACAGTAAATGTATGTCTTGATAGAATGAATAAAAACAGTACCTGCAGTGGTGAAATATTATATTTCTACGAATTTTACTAATCGCAGCAGCTTTCGGTTTCATTACACATGTGTAATACCATATGTATGACATGGCCGTATGACATAGTAAAATGGAGCAGTTATGTGAAAAAATGTATTAAAAAATGTCATACAACTGCCAAAACTGTAACTGTGAACTTGATTATTTTTACCAGTCTGAAAATAATGTTAATATATCATTTATTGAAAGAGATGCATCCCTTGCATATTTTTTTTTTTATAAAGTATTGAATGTTTTGCCTACCGTGGGACATTTAAAAAGAATGCTTATTTTATACCACTTTCAGATGACACGAGTTTACTAGTCTAACAACTGATATGGATTCTAGCACGTTTCTTGTCTCTTTAATATATCATTAATTGAATTTCCTGACAGAATGACAGTAACATGACCGTCTTAGTCGATTTTTTATACCTCCTCTGTAATGCTAGGAACTCAGGTAACAAGCTTATTATTGGTCAGGTTTTGTTTAAGTCTTTGTCTTATTTTGATATCTCTATTTCAAATTTGAAGTTCAACAGTAGTAACCATGTACGGAAAAAGGCTTCAAAATGCATTTTTGACAGGTTTAATTGCAAATAAGAGCGCCACAGTCTTTTTTTGTGACAACCGGAAATGTAAAAGCAAAACCGGTGAAGCGGGACGGGGACACCCCCTAACATGCACTAGGGACATTAAGGGTCAAATAAGCGATACATATATGCAATTATATTCATTCGACAACTGTTATAGAGAATATGGCGTAGCACAAAGAGTACATGTATAAACCCGCATTTTCAAAACAAAATGCATCAATATGTCGTTTGTGAGTTATCAACGTTGATATTCGACTATTTCGAAGCAAAACAACAAAATTCTGTTTATGTTTAACCCTCTGTATGTACCAACCTAATACATATTTAGCATGCTTTAACATTTTCAGACCAGTGGTCATTTGTAGAAAGAATATTTTAGTTGTCACATGCGGATGCTTTCATTTCTGCATGGAAACTGTCTAAAACACCATATATGTAGTTTGACTATGCCTGCATAGCAATGCAATGTTGTTGGAGGGGCATCTATGCATGTGCAATTAAAAATATCTGAACCAGCAAGGATAACTCAGATTTTCTGGTAAAATACATTTTGTAAAGAAATCAAAGTTGATTTTTGATACACTTTGTATGAGGCCGAAAATGGCCCATAATGCCTCAGGTCATTTAAAACCTCAGTAGGTTGTGAATAATATAATTCTTTATATGTTTCAGGATTTAAACATTTACCAGAATACAACGACGGATCTAGAGTCTTGGATTTTCAAGAGTCAGGTACGAGCAACATGGTTGTCCAATTTGGAAGCGAAACCCATCTGTCAAAAGGTTTCTTGAAAGAAGACGGTATACAAGTACGGCCCCTGACAACTGTCTTAGGACTACCCCAAAGTAAAGATATATTCCGTATGTCTGGCCAGTATGAAGTGGAAGGTCTTAGATCAATGCCAAATTTGTTCATGCCTGGTGACTCCGGTGCAGCAGTGTTTATGCTGAATGGAACGTCTTTACATTGCATTGGTATGGCGATTGGTTCCACGTCTACTGGAAACGCTGTGGTCACTCCTATTGCAGCTTTGTTAGATGCTGTTCGAGCAAACGCTGACATTGACCTTTCAGTGTTTCCTTGATTAAGGTTTAGATTTCCTCTTCTTATCGTACTTTTACTGACGAAAGAAATAGTATCCAGTATGTAAAGCTACGATAGCTGTTCATGACGTTTCCAATGCATCGAGAGGCAAACACATGTATCAGTTGAACGCGAATTTAACATACTGATAAGTAGAAGACTGGTTCATCAAATGGACAGAGTGTATAAAATCCGCCAAATTGATCGTTTGGAACAGGACTTGAAATCCACAAAGAAAACAAAGCGCAAGACTGTATTTCTTAAAACGTTCAAACCGAACGACCTGAATGATAGTAGTTTTGTCGGAGGACAAAACGTTGGACAGTTTTTTTTGAATGAATTATTAACTAACTGTTGAATTTAATTATTCATCATTTGTAGTCAGAACTGGATTCAATTTTGTTTTTCATCATTTATCAAAAATATGTATAGATTAGTTCGCATTACCAACAGGTTCTATGCATTACAAAGCTGTTTATGTATTGTTTGAACAGGAATTCAATTCTATGTTGAATGCATTTTTCACTTTGAAAAACCACACTACTTATTACCTGCCCTTTTCTTAATACTTTGTCAAGAAAATACATACATGTGCATTTGTATACATCTTCCTGTTGCTTTCGAAATAGAGAGACAGATACGAACACAATAGCGAACTGCCAGTTAAAGATTGAGGATTACCCTGTTGTTTTCCTCAAATATATTATTTAACTGTCACTCCTTTGATTTCCTAATTTCATTATTTTCATTGATGTCCGTTTAGTTTGATCAATAATTAATATCCTATGTACAACTTACCTCTATTTTGTTTTCTTATCCTAAGACTTGCTTAGGAAGGAGATGCATGTGAGAGCAAAAATGCTTGTTTTTTATAAACTAAACCTAAAATGATTATTTCGTGGTGGTCGCTATGGAATATGTCGATGACATCACATTTCAAAACAAGATAACGTCTCATAACATTTGGAAGAATGCAGTGACTGATCAAATTATATTTTCAACATCATAACTTGGACAAAAAACATGACAGTCACTACAAAGGTATATGTACATTTGTGAATTATACCAAAGAGTAAAAGATCAGAATTTCGAAAGACACCTTTTTGAATCTTAATCACAGTTTGTTTACACCATTTCGTATTAATATTTTTTTTCAACATGCATTATTTTATAGAAATGAATTATAATATTAATTTGATTAAATTCAAGTAAAGACCTCATCGTGTATCCGTCGTTACTGACGACACTATTTGCTGCGATACATCGCAATCTGGTGTGTTATATTTGAATATTTTAAAAAAATATATTACTAGTATATGAATGCCTTTATACTGAAGTTGTCGTTTAGCATTGTATGTTTTTGTTATTAAAGCGACCCCTTCTCTTAATGTGATACTTACAGCAACGGTAGCTGTATTTGTTGAGTTGTCACAGATACGCCTCAACTACCTCATGTCATCTTTTACAAAATCTGGCTAATCGAATAGATATTTATGGAACTCTATCAGCAAATACAAAGTGTAGACTTTCTTAGAATAAGCATAAGTAAGGAATTTAAGTCCTGTTCCAATCATCCAAAACATTAATTACCCTAAGCATATTACAGGAAAAATCCGTGACCTTATTTTCGAGAGTCGATTATTATCGAACTGAATAAATAATTACAACCTTAGTCTTGGATAGTCCTGCTCTCGCCTTTTGCCAAGACGGCCGGGGTTCAATTCCCCGATGTTCCGTTTGTATCAATGTCCCGTCATCTCTGATCGAAGTATTTTTGTTCCGATTGTTGTCTGTTTATGGTCATTAAGGGATAAAGTCAACACTGCGTTCTTTGTATCGCTATTTCTAACTAGAATGAGGGATATAGCAGTATCATAACAAGGTACACACATGGAATTGTGTTCATATCGGAATAATAAAATTAAAGGTTTAAGAGTTCCAAATAAGACCGTTAGTTTAAATTGTGATTGCCTTGGTCAGTAACAGAAACGTTTATTTCCAAGGAAACATACGTTTTCTAAATAGAATATCAACATGATGGTAAATAGTTTTTTTAATTATCCTTAGTCGATTTTTAAATTGTAAATTACAAATACATACGGTAAATCCGTGTCTTTATACCATCTGACAAAAAATGTAACCAAGATAAATAAACAATATGAACAATCTGGCTATATTTTATTAAGCAAATATAGCCAGATTTTACAAAGAGCTAGCATCAAAGACATTCTGTATTGCCTTACGTCACTGTAATAACCTTATGGAATCTATTCAACTATGTGTATATGGTACGTTTGTTTACTTTGTTCTGGGACGACAATGGAATAGTTTCCATACATAATGTGTTTTTATATGAATGTCATTTAGGTAAATTTATAAACGGAATTCAAAAGATTTAATTAATTGTATTAAAAGGACATCCAGGAATATGTATATGTAAGAAATTGGTGCTGTGTGTTATATATTTCTGATGTTTTTTTTTTGTGAATTTTCAAGCGCTTGTGTAAAATTATCATTTTGTATTCGGATACATTATGGAAGGTTTTTTTTCAACACGTGCCTTTATCTTATTTTAAAAGCAAGTATTGCTACATTTTACCGATTGTCATATGGCTTCGATCGGCGGACCATAACGTATTTAGTTTCTTGGATGTAACATGCACAGACGATGATTACACGATTTAAACAGTAATTTTGTTGTTTGGTGCGGTTTGTAGAAACTGTATGAACTATGCCATTTGATATCTTTTAGAACAATATTTTTAGCATTTTACCTATTCTACCATGAACACGTATAAACAACTCATCGAAATGTTAGGTTGTAGTTTGTAAAATACCTGAATTTGATTTTATATTCGAAACGTGAAGAGATAACTTTTACAGTTTTTATTCAAATTTTATTTGAGATAGGTTATTAGGTAACATATCAGCGTTTTGATTTTAAGTGGTCGATAGCGTTATTTGTTTATAATGAATATCTAAAGTAGCGATTGACTGATATAGATTGTCAACTTATCGTATATGTACCTTTTTATTATTTTTTTGTTCCCTACATAACAAATAAGTCATAGAGAAACTCCCTTTTACAAACCATGGTATTCAAATATTTACAAACTCTTCTGATGGCTTAATGTATTCTCAGAAAACTGCCGACTGGCATAGGGACATATTATGCATGTGTTTTGATGTTAAAATATGTATATACATTTTGTTTCTATTGTATTTAAACGTACATTTTTGCTGCATAACACCTATTTATTTGTACAAGTGTATCTATCAGACAAACAATACATGTTAGGTAGAATTATAAGAGTCCCGGTACAGTATCATTACCCCCTCCCCGGAGAACCTGATATTATTCTATTTTACTTTTTTTTTTAAATGGTATCTATGGAAATATGTTTTTGTTTCTACTTTGTCCTAGTGTTATCGATTTTGAGTTCGAGTGTGGTTTTATTGAGACTTTGGTATTCTCTTGGTTTTTTTCGGTTAATCTAAACCATTGTTATGACTATACATGTACTCTGTAAGTCTCAATCTTTTTTTTATAATAAATCCATGCTAGTTTGAAATTTTATGTATAAAGGCTTAATAACCCGACATATTTTTGTGTAATTGTATAGTTTTGAGTATCGATGTATGATAAGAAGTTTTATGTTAAAACAATTTATCTATGAACATATAATGTTTATCCGAACTTTAGTATTAGTCAGCGTTATTGTTGTATATAATCAAAATTGTAGAAGTAGAACACCAGGTTTATCATTGGTGCATTTTTAAACTATCATATTTGAACAACTTTCGGTTTTTAAGCGGAACAGACAAGTTATTCTACTTTTATAAACAATCTATTAAAATAAGTGACTTGATTCAAACATGGCCAGAAACCAACATAAAACTTTAAAAAATTGATATCAATGTTTCATGATATATTTGATTTTGTTACAATTAAAAGAAAGATGAACATTTTGAAGAGAAAATTATTTGATGTATTTGATTGAAAACAAAATAAAACGTTATTTTAAAAAATTGTAAAAAAACTCAAATGCTCTGTACGAGTCATTTTTGTCAATATACTTTATATTCTTTAAGATAAAATGTTAAGAGGAGGCACGGTAGTCTAGTGGTAGGACGCTGGGCTCGTGACCGAAGGGTTGCGAATTCGAGTCACGTCACGGCACTGTCTTGTATCTTTAAGCAAGATACTTTACTCCGTTCGTTTAATCACGGATACTATTTTCTAAAAAGCTTTGAGACGACCTTCGAACTAGGTTGTGATAAAGCGGTATATAAGAACCTCGAATTGTTATCATTATTACTACTAATGCATGTGGATTGAAGCCGAATGCAGTTTAATTACACTGTACTAAAGCATTGATAAAAACATTAGTTTTCCCCAAGACATGATGAGCATTTTGACATTGGGTTTAAAGTCATTGTATAATATATCAATAATAAAGCAATGTGAACACAGTATATTTGTTTGAAACACGTCTGTAGGTATTCTTGTATATATACCCTGTAATTTTTGAAAATGTAATAGCACAGATTCTCTCGACAATGACAATTCCAGTTACTAAATGTGTAATGACCTATTAACTGTTTTTCAATTTTGTCAAATAAACAGATAACAGTAATGGGTTCCTAATGCTCGAAATCCAAAATAGATTTTTATTAAATGCACTTAACAATGGACATTATCAATAATTGTGATTACAGCATTACTTATATAAATGATTGAACTTGATATTACGTCTATTTTGAAATTATATGTTGTTCATTGAGTATTTTTTTTCTTCATATTTTTTCATAATGTCATATGAGTGTGTGGAATAACGATCATGTTATGTGAAGTAAATAAAAGATAAATGTTCGTATGCTAATCAAGTCTATAGAGAGATATGTTAAAATAATTAACTCCATTTGGGTAACTTAATATCCATATATAGAATACTTGTCACGGGGTGTTCATCTATTTTTCTTGCTATGATGTTACAATCAGATGGCATGGACATTTTTTTACTCTAGATTCACGATAGATTGGACTAGGCGATGGCATAATGGCAGTACTTCTTGTAATGTACAATAAATCAAAGTAAGATAACCAGCTTTTAACCAAATATCCATGACAACACATGGTCTTGCTCCATCAACAGTGCTCCAATGTTCAAATAAATTAATCATTTATCTAATTTAAAAAAAAAAATCCTCAGCAATTGATATGAAAACTATCGAAAAAATAATGTAAAGCCCTATAATCGTATCCACGTGCTTTTGAAAAATAATACTCCAAAAAGACCGACTCTTCGTATGAATTACTCATCACCATCTGCTACCTTAGGGTCAACACGTCAATACAATGTCATTTACTTTCATGGTCGCAGTACTGTTAGCATAGATATAAAATATTTAGACATAGTAACCAGATACAGTGTTGATAACTTATTTCATGTCAGGTTATTCCGATGTTTGACAGTTTAAGAAACTTCAACACTGAGGTCAAAGTAAAATCGAATAATTCAATGTGGAAACAGTTTTAAGATAATCTATAAATACAAATATTTTACTTCTATATTCCATTGAAATTATATTTAAACAACGTCATGACTTTATGATGCCTGTTTCACACATGACTGACTGACGAACAATAGATCAACTCAACTTACCTGTAAGGTCAACCAGTCAGTATAACAACCAGTTAATTTGATATTTATAGCTGTGTTAGACCAAAATTACGTATGCAATGGAACAAATGTGGTTGTTTCATCTGTGAGCGTGAACTATAAACGTGAAAAATAAAACAAAAGTATGCATTTCAAACGCAATGAACTGAGTCGCGAATTTCGATAGGATCGGGGGGAAAACAACACTTATTCACGACAGCTGTGTCGTAATCACTGGGACCTGATAATTATTTTCAGCTATATTTGGATCTAAACTTAGGTGTTCAGAGTAATTTTACAAATGCTAGAGATTGGGATGGACTTTCGGTAAACATGCCACTCCCTATGCTTTTATAAAATCATTAGAGGTGGTAGTAATACCCTTATTTTTATATCTCAATTTACAGTCAGAATTTCAAACACCTGTGAGAAAACGATGTAAATTTCAATCCTGACGCGCATGATTCAAGTTTCTTATTTTCAAAAATGTTTTCTGAAATCAAAGCATTGAAAAGATTTGGAAAAATACGTACCAACACGACATGCTTTATAGACTACATGTTAACAGCCAACGACACTCCAGTATAATTATTAGGAGCTTGAGTCAATACCGGAAGGTAACTACAGGTTGATCACGTACGATATTAGAGCACTACCGGCGAGTATTTCGCTGTTATAAAAGATAAAGTCGGGTCTGTAAGAATATATTTTTTACAAGACGATCTTCTTTGCAAAACAACATTACTTGGATATATAAATAACATCACTTCAAAGTTTTGACAGCATCAATGATCAGAAAACACGTTTTCTCATTATGTCACTTTCCGGTTAATAAAATGTTTTCTTCCGACAAATGAGAAATGAAATTAAGGGAAATCTACCGTATTTCTAACATTTTTCCTTTATTAATTAATTGTATAATTAGTAATTCATACTGATGTTTCACATCAATGCTGAATAGTTAAATAAAATATTTAATAAATAGTATATCCCTTTTAATCATAAATACTGGTTTGTTTTTCGTTTTACGTCATATGGTCACTTAAATACATGTTTGGTTTTGATAGTCTGTCTGCGGTCAGTACCTGGCGGTTACCTCAGTAATCCAACGGTGGAGAGCACGTGATCATAGACGGTCAGATGTCCTAACAACTCGGCCATCGGGATCCCGACCTAAATTGTTGATGTTATTAATACATTTACTTTGATACGCCTAAGACATGTCACACGTATAATTATCCTCTAAGGTCATCGACATTGACTCAATTAATCAATTAAGATTTTGGATCACATATTTCGTATCAAATCCCTCAGATATATTGCATTTATAAATTTGTAGATGATAACCAATAACCTTCATTTATCTGGATCAAATATGATGAGGAGGAGGTGTTTGTTCTTAAGAGGTAAATAAATGTATTCCCATTATGGGCAGTGTTTCGGTTTTTACCTGATTGTTTAAACTTAAATACTGGGATAAACACCTGTATGTATTTCAAAAATTTAACTGATTAATAATATTTATGAATTTTTTTGTAATTATCAGTGGGCTTATCATTTGTTTAAAACTTTAAAATTAAAATTGGCTGATAGCCCATCATCCAAGCATGCTATTGGCCAAAATTCAACATTTCAGTCCTAATGGTTATTTAGAAGAAGTTGTTAATAGATTCAAATAAATTTGACCCCTGTGACCTTGAATATAAGTCAAGGTCATTCATTTGAACAAACTTG